AAGAGAAAAGTCCGGTCACGTGATATGCAAATTAGCCTGTGGCAGTGATGTTATGCTTAGTCATCACTGCGCAGGAGTGTGGTTGACAACTACTTAAGATGCAAAAAATGGCATTAATATCAAATTTCACAACTTTGCCAGAGGTTGATTTTGGTTGTTTTTTGGGGGGAAAGACATATGAACAAGGGAATACATTTGTCACAAATATTTGTCTGTTATCGAAAATGTGTAGGTCTAATTAAATTATGGGATTTTTCTACTGGCCTATTTACAAATACATTGCAGACCGCCTCCGTGTTGTACTGGTTAGAGCGTCCGCCCGGAGAGTGGATGGTCACGGGTTCGATCCCCGACCGCATCATACCAAAATACGTTAAAATATGGTACTTGTTGGTCCCTGCCTGGCGCTCGGCATTAATGGGTACATCAAGGATTGGTCGGCTCGGAGTCAGTATAATGTGTCTGAGTGGGGTATTCGTGCTTCACTGCGGCATGGTATCTCAGTGGGCTAGCACTATAAAACCAGTTTCAGTCTGGGCTAGTACAAGCAGCCGCACATACACATACACACGCATGCACACGCCATATGAGCGAAATATTCTCAAGCACGAGGTTAAACAGAATTTCATTTTACCTCACCTCACCTCACCTCACAAATACATAGTTTTACCTTTGTTAATGACTGATGTATAAACCGATATTGATATTAAATCAAAGTCTATGTGTGTGTAAGTGTCCGGTCAAGACTCCAACTGCCACCAGGACTGTACCTTAGGTAACGTTGATATCACTGTTTTGATTACAGGTGGTACAGGTAGGGCAGGTCGTGATTACAGTTTACATCTGAATTTCAGTTACTTGTTCATAAAATATTTTGCCTATAACAGCCAACAGAATATGTTTTGTCCGTGATTCACTAGAATACTTAATGTGCTCTCAAATGGCGTTGCTATGTATTTTACTATTTGTATCAGCACATTAAATTTACGCCTTGACATTTACTACTTGTTACCAACATGTAGCAGCTTTTGTATTCAGTATTTTTCCTGATGTCATTCAACAAATAGGGGAAGAATGTTGATATCGATGTTTTGTTCACGGTGCACATCTGGTTGTCAGTGATCCATTAATATAATTAACAGTATCACTTTGCCTATTGCAGCTAACGAATTCCATTTAGACAATGAATCAATATAAAATCTAATTCCCATTCAAATCGTCACTAGGTGTTATATTGCTTATATTTGCATATAGTCACTTCTTGTTGACAACGAGAGTACAAGTAGTAGACGTATTTGTATTTTACAGGGTGTCAGCACAAGATATGGGATGTAATGTATGATGACTCATGTCCGGAAAGCACAAAACAATAACAATATGGTAATGCTGAAAGGTTATGCATGTTAAAAGTATTACAACTGGAAAGGACAACCTGAAATGAAAGTCAGCTTAATATAAAATTGTATGACCAGTAAGTAAAATAATTCCTATCTGCCAAGCGATGGTGTTGTGTAATGTACATTAACATACCACAGATAATGATACTGTTTATTATTACAGTTAATATAGCGGCGTGTAACTTTACATCTGGGGACAACCATGCTTACGCCACCACCGGGCAGGCAGCCTGGGATACTGATGGTGTGACGTCAGGGCCGTGTGCATCAGTCTCGTCCCTATACCCAGCATGGGAGGCGGAGTTTACACAGAAAAGGACAGTTACTAGGATCAAGATATTCTCGGAAGGTACTGTGTCACCATAAACACAAGATAACGAATGCGTACTAATACGGACAAAATTAATAGTACTTATACTGACAAGGTCTTTACATCGGACAAGTATTTTATATGAGACATCTTAAACATTATTTGACCAGCTTTGAAATCTATTATGTTACAGCAATGCTAAAACACACCCGAATATGTATTTAGTGTAAGGTATTTTGTTCATTCTTCTCAACATATTCCAGATCAACAGGATGACGTATATGTGTCTGTCGATGGCTGAATATGTCACGCCCCGGACTCTTCCTACATATGGCAATCAGAGTACTACCTGGAGTGTGATGTACCCGTGACGGGGATCAATCTCATGATCTATCGCCAACCTACAGAAGATGCGAGAATGCTGAATCTGAGTTTCTGCGAGGTGGAAATATACGGTACTAGAAATATATTTGCCTAAACCACTCAACGGTGTTATCAACGTTTGGCTTGACTCTTAAACCTAAAGACATATCCACTCCTCTTTTGTAGTTGATTCCAAAACTACATAAAAATCTTTGCAAAGAGAGATATATTGCTGGTTCCAGCAAATATACCACCAAATCCCTGTCTCAAAGATTAGCCATAATCCTTATTACTATCAAGGAAGGACTTAGGACTTTCTCGATATTCACAGAAAGATTTTAAGACATGCGGAATTAATAGATGTGGATTCTCAAAACCTCAGAACCGTTTCAGCGTTGTATATGACCAACTTAAGGGAAACATTCATTCCCTGATCAATGGGGCATAAACAGACGCGGTGAACAACGAAATACCTACACACCTATCTTCAGAGGTTCAGGACACTTTGTGGGGCGGTGGGTTTAGCCTAGTGGTCAAAGCGTTTGCTCGTCACGCAGAATACCCGAGTTCGATTCCCCACATGAATACAATGTGTGAAGCCTATTTCTGGTGTCCCCTACCGTGATATTGCTAAAATTAAACTCACTCACTCAGGACACTTTGTCAATAATGAAAGCAAATGTCATTGGAATTTTACAGAGAAAATAATGTGTGAAATATTTCTCATTGATAACACTTTTGTAAAATTTATGGTAAAACATTTGGCCATGAAGTAGACATTCCCATGGGCACCAATTCTTTCATGGTAGAAATGGGGAGGACATTTCCAAATTTGATGCATCAGTGACAAAAACAATGTCCGATGCAATTTTGACATATACCATACGTTCCCGAATTATACAACTGACTAGACTTAGCATGTGTTTATGACGGGTGCCACCGGTGGGGCACGATACGCTCATCTTTTCGTGAACACCTGGTATCACCACTATTTCATAGTGATTTATGGACACATGCTCTGTCATAGTATCGCATGGTAACAATCGCTGGATTGTCTGGGCCAGAATCGATTGTTTACGGCTGTAATACTGCTGATACAAGTATATACTCATGATTAAGTCACAATTGTACAAACGACTCTGCTTTTAGCAGATTTTTTTATGGATGTGGAAAGTGTTTTGTCGCTTCTATTGATGAATAGCAATATATACTATTGTCAAAAGATGCAAAATATTCTTATTATCAAGACTAAAGCTATACACGTCATACGATCGTAGTCACGATATGGCTGAAATATTTCCGATGTGACTTTATATTTGTGAGTTTTCACTCACTCACTCATGTAATCATGAGATCACTCACTCATGAGATCACTCATGAGATCATCAAATGATAACATAGAACGTCAATGCAAAAGAATACCCAGTTTTGACTATTTTCAGAAACAAATTCCGAAAACAGAAAGTTACAAAATATCTGTTAAAATTATATAAGATGCTCGCTTAAAGGATAATCATGTCCTGTTCTACCAGTAGCACCCGTCACTCACAAACTTGTAAACTATTTTGTTGTGTTACACTGCACAGCTGTACTCATGCGCCTGTGAACAAACCAGACAAGCAAAACAGACCTCGACTTGGGTGTACCTAGTCTGAATACACGAGACGTTCACTAACACCACCAGGACGCTGGCTTTGATGGGACGTTATAGAAATGTGTTCTGGTCAAACTTGAGGATATATGACATCAACGTTAGATGAAATCCATCTGACTGTGTGTGCGGTTGTATATCTTCACGAAACTGATATCTGAATCAGTATCATTAGCCGAACGCTTAAGGTCTGGTTAAGTATATTGATATACTGTCGACTGCAGACACTTTACCGCTTCCAATCAGACACATGTGTAGCATTAGAAATACCTTCCATTCAAGCTACGTATCAATATAGAAAGATATGCATGTGTTTGTTTAGCTGTACCGCTGGAAACGTTTTCTTCAATGTCTTCTTTCAAAACTACTACCATGCCAACAACATCCAAGACATTGTCTACGACAAAAGTGACTACTTCACCAGCGTTGTGGGTCACTAAGTCCACTACTGCACAAACATCCAAAACAATGGCAACACCACCAACAGCGACAGCACACACATCGGAAACATCCACGCCACCATCTGGTGCAGCAGGTAAAGGAAGTGATGTATGTGTTTGGGGGGTTCTTCAAAGACGAACGGGTTACATTTTTGCAGCTTGTAGTTCTTGTCATAGCAGAGGTACGCGCAGTCAATAACCAGTTTAAATTGATATTGCATCTATTGAAACAGACTTGGAGAAGGATTATCGTTACACGTGACAATTCAACAGCAGAATTTGTAAGTGCATGTTCACATGTCATTAATGAAATAAACAACAGTTAAATTGTATACTCGGCCAAAACTATGGTAATATGTCCCTTCGAGTCTTTCACTATTGTTAATCACTGCAGATGATCAAGACCGATTTATATCGCTGACCTTTTGTGTTTGTATTACATTGTGGGTACTATCTCACGTGCAAACCCGACACGCCTGTAAAACATTTCACCATTACAAATAATATATACTATGAGCTTATATGATTAAGAATCAAGCAGGTCATATGTAAGGTGCTATTGCAAAGGAGAAGTCTTTTAGTATATAAAGTCAGATATATATCTCAGCAGGCGTAAAATACCACTTTCAATTCTGAAGGAGCAGTATTCAATTACATTATGCTGCATTATGACGGGTGCAAAAGTCGTTTGTGTTCTAGCTAAAAGAAGCATGTCATTGTTGAAAAAGATATCAATACGGCAAACAAATGTCTATTTTACGTACACAAATTTAACTGTTCAATGTGTTAATATTTAATGTGTTCGATTTCCACGCTTGAATGTATTGCTACACTTTCAGAGTCCCCCGATAGCAGGTTCCCGTTACTGTACGTCATTATCGTGGGTGCTGTGGCTGCTGGTGTCGTCACTGTTGCGGTTGTTGCTGTTGCGTGTGTGAGGTATGGTGCAGCTATCAACAGTTGGTGAAGTATTATGTTCGTGATACAAATGTTGTCTAGGTTATGATAATAGAGCAAAATAAAATGCTTCGCTGAAAGATTAATGGGGATAGGCTGACCTAAAAATTCTGTTCAAATTTCCTCCCCTTTGCTATTGACAACGATAACGTCAAAACACCCTGACACAAAGTCCCTCCTTAACGAGAAGAAACTATACTTTGCACATTTGGACAGAGGAAACTATTTCTCTGAGGTTCTGTTGACACTTAGAATTAACACATCTGTCAAGAAGTGGAATATGAATGAAATGAGTACATCTGTTCTATCAGAGGAATTTGGTTTGGTTATTTCACCCATAATTCAATGTTTCAGGAGACAGAAAGGCAAAAGGACCCAAGCCAGAGACGCTGAAGAAGCAGTTGTCCCATCTTATGAAATGTGTGTAGCGGAACCCTCTGATTCTACTCAGTACCAGATCATACAAAGCTACAGAACACCAAGGGGATGGTCAGAACAAGGGTCCATTTATGTTAACACGAAAACAACTACCAGTCTTGAGAACATTAATGAAAACGAATGCACCTATGTGAACAACGGATACGTGAATGATCAGAATGTGTCAACTGGAACATCATGTTATGTCAACGTTGGTTCTAATAATCAAGACATCGAGAAAGCGGGAGAATCAAACATTTATGTTGATACTACTGATTTTAGTCTGTACGAAAATACCCTAAATATCCGCACTTAAGTTTGATCCCTGCTGTTAGTCAGGTGAAACATAACTCGCATGAAGCTATTAATGTTGCAGTATCTTCCGTGTAGACAATCATATTCTAGTACTTTCCTCATAAAGGCGCGGGTTTCGGTGGATGGTCAAATAAGAACTGTCGGAGTGACCACGTTTTCGAACAATTGAAATAACTCATTGACATGTTTTTGGAAGTGGAATGGTTTTTGTCTTTCGAATGCTAGCTCATCAACCAGCCCTCTGTATCAACAACCAAGTCATTGTAAGGTTTTAGTGTTCAAATCTGCAAACACCTGATAGTCAGTAGGGGCCAGATCTGGTGAACCTGGACGTAGAGGCTCGTTTCCATATTCTGGTACAACAGCCATTTGTGTGACTGGAAGACTGGCCTGACATAGGACACCATGTCGAAGACGCCGCATCGCTTGTTTGACCGTTTAAAGTCATTAACACCGCACATAAGTGTGACAACGTTCACGCTAATTCTGCTTTCGACACTCTTTCCATGTCATGTTCATGCACTCATATCTGTATAATACTTATAGCTTAATGAAATTAACGAACATGTGACTGACATCGTTTAGTAAGAAATATTGCATGTGTATTCAGCGTTTCACGAATAAAATAATTGTATAACTCCACTATCGTTCATATTATATTTTCCTTGACCATAGTTTTGTGTATAGCTTGCTTGATAACGGTGTTAGCATCCATCTACATCGAAACGTCGCACCCACTGCAATAAATATGTTATCCATATTAAAAATCGGGCTTCTAAAAGATGTTTCATGAACAAGTAAAATCCAGATTCCCATCTTCTGCGAGTTTCATTTTAAAGAGTACGTGATACTGATTTATGGTATTCCCCTTCTTGAGTATAAACCTATTTCTGTATGTCCTATTTCAACTGATCTTGTGTGATTATTTACTCATTTCAAAATTTAGTCCTATGCATTTCATAGTGGGAATACGCATAAAAGAAATGTTTAAAATGGTTTGGTACCTTTAGCTCTTAAGCCACATGAAATTCTTTTTGACCCCGCAAACTGTGGCCTCGTATCTCTATTTCGTTTTTTTACTTTTACACATTTCAGATAAACAGTTGTTGTCCTTAGTTTGATCATCGATGGTGATATACATATACAGGTCATATGTGTTTGCTTGATCCAGTAACAGACCCGTGGCCGTAAATCTTTGACACCGCCTTTCAGATACTTTAAATACAGCGAGATCGTTTTAGAAAGGTGCTCATCATTTTTCCAAAGACTACAAATGAAACTGGTCCTCACAAAACAATATTTCACCCATTCTAAGACTTTCGATGTCGAGCTAACCAACCGTCAGAAATGTAAGCAGTGGCGCCTAAAGATATGCACCTTAAACCATAGTTGGAACAGGTAACATATGTCTCCTAAATATGTTACGTCGTGGCTATTTTGTGTATGTATAAATACCTCTAAAAAACACACACACGCGCACGCACACACCCCCACCTCCCCACCACACACACACACACACACTCCAGCAACAACACATTTCAAAATTAGCCAGGAGTGTATAGCTCTGAAGTTCTTCGTTAGCATTGATTTATTGTCAGGTTATTTTCTGCATAAAAGGTAGTCCAGGCTATATCGCCATCACTTCTGGGTTGTGTAGCTGTGATACTAAAAGGGCAAGTGAAGTATAACAGTTTCACAACACGGAAAAAACCTGTCACATTGTTAGAGCAGCTTGAGCTAATCGTGAAATCCTGATGCCTATACTGATTCTCAGTGATTTACTCAAATTTGTTACCTCTAGTTCCTCTACTTTCCACACCCAGTGGAATATGTTTCGATTGCTAATCGAGACGGGTTATATTGTCAGGTATTGTCGGCGTCTCGCGTTTATCATCGATCTGCCCAGGTGCTACTGCATTGTTAGGGGGTACATAATGATTTGTGACCTCCAAACATCGCCCTGCTGTACCATGCTAGCAAGTGTCCTATCCTGATAAGTATTGAGCAGCCACTGGGAGGTTATTAGTTGTTACAGTAGTTGCTGTGGCAGTTGAGTCATTTATGGGAAATGCCAAAAAAATATAGTGATACCTCATTGCAGATCATATGTTTATGACAACATCCGCAACACACATTACTTATCAAGAGGAAAGTTATCACATTGTAGACCTACACACATTTTCCAGTATACACGAAGGACAATTATTCAGATATCAATCGTTTGATAATCGACACTGGTTATTACCAGGCATTGACGTTTCACGTTCATCATCGATCTGCCCACGTACTACTGCATTGTGTACCATGCTAGTCAGTGTCCTATACTGATATGTATTGAGTAGTCTCTGGGATGTTATCAGTTGTTGCAGTAGCTGCAGATATGGGAGATGCCCAAAGATGTAATGATGCCTCACCTCTTTGCTGATCATACCGTTTGAGACATCTCTTCATATACTCTTTAATATACTCTTTAAAAAGGTAGGGGAACATAAACTGTCAATTTGGATAGAAAGTATAAGCGTTAACAAACTATTCAAAGGCAGACATCCTATGAATGCACCACAATTTTCCTTATCATCACCGCTAGACACAACGCATGGGATGCGGGCACACATCATAGTATCCCCATACACGTTCATGGAGTGTCATTCTTGAATTCGACGGTTTTTCAAGAAGGACGATAAATCACTGCAGACCATTAATTTTGAGTCATCTTGCATCACAAAGTTGTTAGTGTTTGTTTCAAGAAGGTGCTTTTTTGCTTGAAAATAAAAATTGTACACATGCAAATTTCACGTCATACACCAGTCATCTTTCAAGAACGATTACTGTACAAACATTGGTCATAAGGAAGTGCAAGCGGTGATGCACCCTCGAAACATTCATAATCATTATATCAACATTGATTGACTCCGATATATCTGCCAATTTTTTCAATCGTTAATTAAAACCACAGTTTTGAGGAGTACATTACTTATCACGAGGAAAGTTATCACACAGTAGACCGACATGCATTTTCCTGATAGACACGTATGACGATTATTCGGATATCAATCGTATCTCATTCAGTTTACAAATAATTGTACAAAAGGGACATACTCCATTTTATAGTCCGACTGCATCACAATCATGTGTTTATGAATCACCATCAAGCAGGGATCACCTCAGGTGTGAGCACGCTGACATTGAACGGCGGATTTAATATTCATTTTTCTGAAATAGGCAATTATTGTATTTATATACCATACCATAGCATACGGACGACCTGGCTTACTGTACCCTTTGTAGTACACATGCTGTATTGTACTGAACAGTACATAGCAAAATATATCTTCTGATTGATGTGTGACTATGTTTCACTCACATATATTTACCAGTTGAAGGAGTGAGCTTCACTGGTGTGGTTGTAGTGTCATTTCTGATCTCGCCCCGCCTTAATGAATTTAATTTAATGGCATGGTCTCCAAGGATGAATTCATTGCACGTCATACTCAACCATTGTGGAACCATGGTTACCCAGAACGCCATTGCTTACCTGATTCTGTTGCTTGTCTGGAGCCTGCAAGGTGAGATACATGCTTCTGTTACTCACACATAAATATGGTGTCAATGATGAAATACCTACATTCCTATAATCTGAAACATGAGCATACACAATGACACTTGCATTGGGTTCACAGACTAGTGCCCTGAAAGCAAGTGTTTCTAAGAATGACCATAATATTAATCATTTTAGCAGTCGATATTTATATTAACTCAAAACCTATGTTTGTTACAGCGTCCGGTCAAGACTCCAACTGTCCCCAGAACTGTACCGCAGGTAACGTTGATATCGATGCTTTGATTTGATGCTACAGGTAAAGCAGGTCGTGATTACAAATTTGCACCTGTTTTTCGCGGCCAACGGAATTTCTTTTGTCAATGATTCGCAAGAAACCTTATAGTACACTCGAATCGCGTTGCCATTACATTAGGGTTTATTTTTTCACATTAAGTTTACGTATAGACATTTACTACTTGTTGACCACAAGAGTGAAAATAGGAGGACGCGTTCAACCACATCGTCATTCTCTGCCCGACTTTGCAGGTGAACAAGACATACACGGAGAGAGCGTGGGTGATGACGGCCCCGGACGCACAAAGTGGATCCGGGAACGCGCCTGCAAGACTGGTTAAAAGCTTACTACAACAAATTTAAAGGGAGTCGACGCTGTTCATCCTGACGACTGCAGCGCCAACAAGGAAATGGT